AGAGGAGCATGCTGGGGGGGAGGGTTATACTGTACTTTTTAAAATAAACCTAAGTTTCTATGAAAATTTACAGTTTTTTTGCTTATGTGCTTTTTTTGTTTATGTGGCCCGATCCAGACTTTGAGTTTGACATGCTTGTTGTTCACACACCTACTATATTATAGAGCTTTAGGTCAAAAACACTTTGATGGATACAGACTAAAGTCCTAATTTTGTCCCCAGTTTGGCCAAATATGTGATACATTTGCTCACAGCCTAAATTAAGATAACTTAAATATCTTGCAAACTCTGTAATCAAAGAAGTGGGCTATATAAATATTTAATTAGAAATGTACTCCAGACGAAGCTCTAAATATGTATTTTACAGGTCTCAAAAATTTCTACTCACCACTAGCCTTTTGGCAAGTGCAGATTTAGCCCTGGTGAGTACCCATACCAAGCTTGCAGTGGTGAGTAACTTTTGAAGTCTGGCCAGTAGCATAGGAATTTAAAATCCAATGTGTAAGTAACACAACGTAAATAAAAATAAATTAACAAAAATGGGATTTCAGGGACATTATAATAACGATAAAAGAACCTGTATCGATAATGAGCACTTAATATCAATGCGGTGGTTATCAGGCTTCAGAATGTCACTGTATTTTTTTTCTTCATTTTTTTTTTCCTCCACCAAATTTTGCACCATCTGTAGGAGTGCAAAACCAAATCCCCTGGAGTCCTGGGGATCCGCTATTAACGTGGAAGGGCCCAGGATCACATCATAGCCAACTTTTGAAACAGGTGCAGCAGTTGATGGGTTAATATGTCTGCTGAATTTTTATTTAAAGGCTCCTTGGTCCCGTGGATTTTTTATTTTATTTAATCCATGCAGTTCAGCGATTGAACCAAATATTGCATTGTGTGTGAAAATTCAATGCTTAAGTAACTGTTTTATACGTTTCACTGAGTATATTAGTATTGATATGTTGTTGACTTTTCATTTGCTTTTCCCTTACCTGTCATTATCTGTTCCTGTTAGTTTGATCCTGTCTCTGGAGGCCAAGTTGAACCTATTGCACAGCTACATGAATGTAACCTGGATACGAATACCCTCGGAAACAAGGGTAAATTCCATGGGGGGCAAACAGTGCATTCTGATTGCATTTTCTGTGTATGTTAAGGAATTGAAATCTACAGAATATGACACACGAGAATTAAGTTTAGATAGTGTCAGCAAGAAGAACAACCTAGAGATTTCTACTGAAAATCTACTGAAAATCAGCATAATACACCTTGTATTGAAACTCGTAGATGACTTGTGGTTTTGGGGTGAATTTACATCTTTTCTGTAATGCTGTAACAAGCACAAGTGGAAGGTTACATTTTCCCCTTCTGGTGGAGAACATCATTTTGAATAACCTCATTTAATGCTATGTCACAGAGTTTGGACCGTCATTTTTCCTTTCAAAAAATGAGGCAATATACAGTGTGATACCTTTTTGAAATCTGTCTTCATGATGAATCTTGAGAGTGAAAGGGTTGAGAGACATCGGTCTACTGCTCTTGTTAAATCTCATACTCCAGTGCAAACAAACCAAATCCAAGCACAAGAGAATTCTGAGAACTGACAACAATTCAATTAGCTTGCTTTTCAGTGGTTTCACACTTCTTTTTCAAGCTCGTTTTAGCTTATCTTATGCCATTACAGAGAGAACCTAAGCCATCTTTATATCCGAGCAATCCAACCCAAAAGGACAGACCAGACCTGAAATGCCAACTGGCTATCTCTGCACAAGAGGATGCACTTACCTCTGATGATTGTAGGCCTTGGTCAGACGTAGCTGATAACCCTCTAGGCACAGTGAGCGAGGTAATCCACGTCTGGATTACCATTTTAATTTATTTGCAAGTAAACCAAAACAGAGGGCAGCCCACCAAGGATAGAAACTTTTGTCTGGGGTTGTTGTATGTCTTTTTTCAGAGGGAACTGTCTGACATTTTGGATCTGGACCGCCCTTTTGGATGGTCATCACAAGATAATGCAAACTGTTTAGTTCTGTATGTAATGGCACCAGATGAGCTATAACTAGCTTAGAACTGTACAGGGATCCACCCAAAGGAAAATTAAGAGTTGTTGCCCATTCTTCGTATTCTCTTGTTCTGTTTTAATCGGTTTGTAAATACTACAGTGATCCCGACGGCAGTCATTAAGGACTATATTTAGGAATGCCGATTTCAGTGACTTTTTGTTGGGGGGGGAATAGGAAGAACACTTAGACTGTTTATGGAACTTGAAATCAGTGTTCTTTTCTCAGTCTATTTAGATACTTACCTCCCCTACCCTTTTCTCTCATTTGCTGTTTGTACCTGCTGGGTTAACTTCAGTTAAACCTCAAATACACATAACTGCAATTGATTCCAAACCTTGATACAAAAGATCAAGATGTTTTAGAAGACTGACTTTAAGTGATGCAAAATTCCAACTCCTAAATTACTCTATGCTAAAAAAGACAACCTGCATTATTTTGAGCATTTATTAGGAGGACCCTCCACAGTTTTGGTAAATTTTTGAGCCCTTTATCAGACCTATTATAAGATCTCATTCTATCAGTGAATACCAATTGATAGTGGTGTTAAAAAAGTAGCTTTTTATTTTCTCCTAACACTAAACTGAGGTGCCCCTCCCCTCCAGAGGTAGTTTAGAATGTATAGAAATATGAGTTGTACAACTGCAAAATAGGGAGAAACCATATCAAGTAAGAGAAAATCCATTTCAGAACCTGAAATTAGTAAAAATAAATAAATAATAAAATTATCAAATTAATTTTTGTCCCATATTACCCATACAAAGTTTTACCTTTGTAAATTGCCATGTAAAATTAAAGTGGTTTTGTTTTTTATATGAATGCCTTTTGCTATAACATTTAACCCCTTAGGTCCAGGTCTGTACAGTCATAAGTTATTAGTAAAGCCCACTTGCATATAGCTGCAGGGGCTTCGCACTGAATGTATTTTTTTTTCTATTCCAAATAAAATATGCATATTTTAAGGCAATAATATGTCGCCTTGAACGTCTAATCCCAAGAATATAATAGCGGTTTAATTCTTAAAATGGCATCAAATTTTGATGAGTTTGATTGTATCTGATCTCTGTGTTAAAGAAATGCATATGTTTAATACTGTTGTTACTTTGTATTTTCTCTACTTTAGGCTCCTCTGGCCCAACCAGAATCTCCAACAGCTTCTGCAGGAGAAGACGTTCAGTCCTTAGCAGACTCCATGGACTCAGATCGAGACTCCATTTGCAGTAATTCCAACGTCAACAATGGAAAGAACGGGAAAGAGAAAGAAAAGGACAAGCAAAGAAAAGAGAAAGAGAAAAATAGAACAGATTCTGTGGCAAACAAGCTTGGGAGTCTCAGTAAAACACTTGGCATAAAACTTAAAAAGAACATGGGTGGTCTTGGAGGTCTGGTTCATGGGAAAATCAGTCGAGCTAATTCAAGCAATGGGAAAAATGGGGATTCTACTGAAAAAATAAAAAAGTCAAAATCTCGAAAGGGAAGTAAAGAAGATTCTGGACAGTCTGCCAGCACTTCTCCTTCAGAGAAAACAACCCCATCTCCCACAGACAAAGCTAGCATATCTCCCATTGATAAACTAACAAACAGATCTCTTATTGATAATAAATCTGACCCATGGAAATATAGCACAGATGTTAAACTCAGCCTTAATATTTTGAGAGCTGCCATGCAAGGAGAACGCAAGTTCATCTTTGCAGGTCTTCTTCTCACCAGTCACCGGCATCAGTTTCATGAGGAGATGATTGGCTTTTATTTGACCAGTGCCCAGGAACGTTTCAATGCTGAACAAGAACAAAAGAGGAAAGAGGTTGAAAAGAAAGCGGTGATGAACGGATCATCATGTAGGAAGCTGGATCAAGATGGATTTGTGAAGTTGGAATCTTCTCCTCAGGAAAGGGCATCACCGGTCTTGCCTCAAAGCCATACCACACAGTTAGTTCTAAAGCTGAAAGATCGCTCAAGTCCCATCCCCACCTCTTATCCCTCACCCAGCACCGGTGCTAAGAAAAGTGGTTCCATGCCAATATCTGCTCACTATAGCCATACACCACCAATCCAAAGGCAAAGCGTCATCCATTTACATGATGTCAACTCCAAGTCATCGAGCTTCCAGGATGACCCATATAAACCGATAGTTGGATCCTTAAAAACTTGTGCTACTTATCCCCAACAGAACCGTTCATTGTCTTCGCAGAGCTACAGCCCAGCCCGGTTATCGGGTATACGCACAGTGAACACAGTGGAATCGCTCAGCTATGAGAAAAACTCTGAGCATAAATCTCAGACCTATACAAATGGTTTCAACTCTAGTGATGTCAGAGACTGCTTAGAATATGCTGATGAGGAGTCTCCTCAAACATGGTTGAACAATGATAAAAACAGTAGGAGCAGAAATATGGTTTGCCCAGTATATTCACTCCATCAGAGCAGATGTAAAAAAGTGAACTGTTCTTTCTACGGGCGGCCTGAGACTGAAAACTACTGTTCTTACTGCTACAAAGAGGAGTTAAAGCGTCGTGATAGGGAAAATAAGATGCACAGGCATTGAATGGTTTAGAGGCCCATGAGTACGTAGAGATCTACCATTTTATACATGCAAAAATTCAATACTAAACTCACTTTAATTGCAATGAAACTAAATAGCCAAAATAGAAGACATAACACCTCTGCTTGGCTTTAATAGAGATCAAGCAGTAGTAGGTTGTCAGTTATTAAAAGGGATAAAGCCTTTGTTAGTTTTTCTCTAGTCCTAATCCTATATTAAACCGAAAGGTGGTTTATGTTGCAGTCAGTGCTGTGTGTGGTCATTCGTAACTAAGGTGCCTGAATTTTTGCTATCACTCAGGTAAGTTGAAAGGAACATTAAATATTTCTTTAAAAAAAAAATATATATATATATATATATATATATATATATATATATAAATATATATGTGTATATATATAAATATATATGTGTATATATATAAATATATATGTATATTGGTTTTGTACAGCCAAAGCTCCTGTTAGTATAAAGTGCTTTGGTCATCATGGTTATTAATTTCATAGATAAGAAAAACTTGGATTTGTACTAACTTTTTAGGGTCAGTCAGTTCATGTGCATTTTACATAAATTTGTTTTTGTAATGTTGTCTTACATTGTATACATCTTGGTAATAGCAGATCGATGGGACTAGGACACTGTATAAACCATGATACATGGACATATTTTAGGCAGAAATTAGCAGCATTTGGGGGTTCCCGTCACTTGAGATGGATTCTGTGCCTAAGACATATTAAACCATTAGCTTGCAAATAATGATAAAGATCTAACACTAAATTTGTTAGATTCACTTATTTGGATCATTTAGTTGTGTTTCAACAGCTTTTGCTTTTTTTTATTATATTTTTACTTGGTAACACAAAAAAATAAATCTAAGTTTAATTAAGACAGGGTTGTGTTTGCTAGAGACAAATGTGCATTTCTGGACATTTCCATCTATAAGTTTGTTAGTTGGTGCAAGACATCCATTTGCCTGAAAAACCCAAATCATATCCGTTTAATCAAGCCCTCTCTTTAAACACAAAACCTTGGCAGTTTGTCAATGTATGATAAAACCGATGTATATTATTGCAGTGTGATCTGGTGTCTCTCGCCATGTATACCATATCGTATATAATCACTGAGAGATACAGTCCCACATGCAGCAATAAGTCTGCATAAATTAGAATTGTTTAAACACACTGGGCCTTTGCACACGTAGTAGTCATGATTATCGAAGAACACGTGCTTTAACATGCTCCTGCAATAGATCGTTTTGAGATATCGTTGCATTGGGATAATAAATGGCTGCATTATTAAACTAGAATTAAAGGACCACTACAGGCACCCAGACCACTTCAGCTTAATGAAGTGGTCTGGGTGCCAGGTCCATCTAGGTTTAACCCTGCCTGGTGTAAACATAGCAGTTTCAGAGAAACTGCTATGTTTACATATTGGTTAATCCAGCCTCTAGTGATTTTCACAGTGAGAAGACTCCAGCATCCATAGGAAAGCATTGAGAAATGATTTCCTATGGACTGACTGACTGAATGCGCGCGCGGCTCTTGCAGCGCATGCGCATTCAGCCGATGATGTCAGAAGGAGGCGGAGAGTCCCCAACGCCAAGGGAGCCCGGCGCTGGAGAAAGGTAAGAAATTAACCCCTTCCTCCAACTTCAGCCTGGGGGAAGGGGGGCCATGAGGGTGGGGGCACCCTCAGGGCACTATATTGCCAGGAAAACGAGTTTGTTTTCCTGGCACTATAGTGGTCCTTTAAGCATAAACATGCAGTGTATGGCACGGTCACTGGCTATGCATGTGTCAGATTCCAACAATGCTTAGTGTGGTATCCCACAATGACCACTGCATTCTGAGATGTTTCATTTAGCATAGTGAAAGCACATGGTTGCATGCACATCCCATGGCACTCTGGAAACATCAAATCTAAGTATGTATTTGGTGTTTTTGCTAGAATAATTTCTTGATCGAGAGGGTTAGCCAGTGATTGACAAATCAGCTTGTATGCGTGCTTGCTGTGTATGCATTCCGTACTATAATGTATAAATTGGTACATTTTGTAGAGCAGATATGAGTTGGCTGTGTGCAGAGCAATTCAGCACCAATAACATACAGCAGGCAGTCTCTGGTTGCTTCATCCTGTTCCAAAAGCTCTCCACCTTGTGCACACAGCAGATTGTTTAATAAAAGGTCAACTGTGATTTGTGCCAGCACTGCACGGTTTGCCTCAATTTTGAAATCCACCTGGCAACTCTCGACAGCATGCTGCTCAAATAGTAAATCCCTCGAGGCCGTGGTCTGTAGTCACTGTAGCTAATGGAACATTAAAGGGAATGTTTTTTTGCATACTTTTAAATACTTTTGCCTTTAGGGTCATTATGTCAAGTACTGTGATTTAATACACACGTTGGTAGGAAATATAGACCACATTTTTTTGGATATCTCCACAAGGATGACTTTGCAATTTTATTTTATTCTACATGCCTTCATTAAAGGGACATGCACCATTTTGAGACAACTGTCTCGTTCAAAAGCTTTAGCTTTGAATTAGATAGTTTGTCTTACTCTACAGACTGAAAAAAGCAGGTACAATATGCAATTTTTTTTTCATATTTACATGCTTCTTCTTTCTTATGCTTTCCATACCCACTCCGGGTGGGGGGCATTGGTATAACAAATCAGTGTCCTATCCCTAGGAATGCTGGAAAAGTACATTGGGCATGTGCAGTTGGAAGATCTCTTCACTTTGCAACATTTATCTGAAAGAGAGTCTGATCAGTGTGATTTATGCAGAGCAGACTTCGGTGTTGGGTTTCTCTCTCCTTATAGTAAGTTTATAAACATGCATACCTTACTTTTTCAAAGATTTTCTTGCTTTATTTTGATTTGTATATTTATTTGTGTTTGCTTGTTTAAAAAACATAATTGTCAACTGATGCATGTCCCTTTAAATATCCACACTGTTTAGGAGAACTGTATTGCATTTTGTTAAGTCAATTAGCCAAAATATACAAGGTTAGAAATGTTGTTCAGTGGGAGAACCAAACCGCACATATGTTAAAGAATGATCAGTATAATTGGTATATTAATCTTTACACAACAGGCTGTTTTGTACAAATTAAAGTGGTATCTACATTATGTTTATACACTGTGTAGACATTTAGCAAAATCATGTTCCAGGGTTTCATCTTGCAGATACCCTGGTAGATAGAATAAGATGTTTAGCTAACTGATATGTCCCCCTACCAGACAGCCTTCTGTCAATGGACTTGCACACACTGGTAGTGGCAGAAACAAAAGATTTTGCTGTGCATGTGTTGCATGCTTTGTTCTCCACTTATCTTCTTGCCATTGCAGAAGAAAATACTCTGCAGGTCTGTGGCGAAATCATCTTTGTTCCTGACCATTAACTTATCAACTTCCTCCAAACAAGCCAACCACAAGATAAAACCTTGAAAAACATTTTTAATGCTTAAATGACATGAGTCCCTTATAACATGTTCCAGTATGAAGTAAACATGCATACTACTTTAACCCCTTAAGGACACGTGACATGTCATGATTCCCTTTTATTCCAGAAGTTTGGTCCTTAAGGGGTTTAACTGTACGGCATTGGTAATTGTGCTATGAAAGAACATTTAAAAGAAAAAGAAGGCAGGCACACATTTTATACCTGTTACCAGAAAATTATCGCTGCTTCCTTTTTACGCATCTCTTATCTGCAGATGAAAATGTCATGGTCTGTTAGTTTTATCTACCTTGGGGTATTGTATAGCAAAAGCTGTGCTTAATTGTTTTGCTAGTTTTATGCCATTCTTTGGTTTCAAACTTGCCTTTCCACACAGTTACAAAGTACCGTATTCTGATGTATTAATTTGTTTATGCCACACCCCACACCCCCTTCTGGGGACTTCAAAAATATTCACTTGTGACACCACTGTCTTGCAAATCCAAACTTGCAAGAGCAGCTACACAACAGATTCCACATGTGAAGGCCTGACTGGTACATGTATGTGTGCCTGCTTGGCATTGACCCAATTTGTTGCTCCTGTTTGCGTTAAATGAGCGTTCGCATTGCCTCCTCTGTTTAATACGTCCAAACATCGCGAGGTATTATCCTCCAGGTTTCATCTATTCTCTTTGGTGGAATCAGCAGAAGATGGAATAAGATTGGACACTAGCACCTATTTTTTTTATTTTTATTTTTTTCTAAACAGAGTAAAAAACATTCTTAGAAGAATTCCAGACTAACAAAGAGTAGTTGCAATTCCAATAACTTTGGGCACAGAATGTTTTCTGATTGATTAACTTCAAGTGGAAATTACAGTATTGTGTATATTATTGGCCAGATCCAACCAGGCGACTACAGATATACCCCATCAAATCAATACGGAAGGCCATGTCACTTGATAGGGCCACAGCGAAATTTGTAAACTTTAGGATTTGATCAAACTTTTGATCAATTTTCTCTCGAGCTTCTTTCACCTCCTAGATTTTCTTGAAAAGTCAGTTTCATGTTTCTGATATGTCTTTTGATACTGTCCCCAATCAGGTCTTCCATCCTATTGTCATATATGAATTGCTTAATGCATTTTCAACCAGAATTTACGCATTCTTGTTCGTAGTTTGCTTACCTTTGAATCATTATGGTATACATGCCATTCTTTGAAAGTCATGAAACTATAATCTATATTTATAAAGTCTATATAAATATTATGGGGACCAAAACTCCATTAGGGAGGGCCAAATTTGACAATATATCATTTATAAAAAACTGAAAAAGTGAAGCCTACTAAAATATCAGTTCAACGTTTATTTCCTTTAGTTAATGTTCCCTAGCCAGGCGCAATGTTTGTATGAACTGTGGATTAATCCTGTTACTGAACAATTGCCTGTGTTACTTCCCTAACCCTGCCAGTCTATATCCAGACACAAGCGTATAGTCTTAAGTGTCTCTATCTCTGCACTGATAGGGTTAAGAAGGAAAAGGATTTACAGATGGGCACTTGAGCAGGGCAAGTGACAATCCATATTTCCCAGTGGCAAACTAATTTAGATGAGAGAAAGCGAAAGATATGTCTCCACTAGTTACAATTCTATAAACTCAAGATTTTATTTATTTCTACTCTCCTACAGTCTCTATTTCTTTTAGCTCGATGAAAGGCTGGTGAGAAGCTCATTTTTGCAAGAGGCAAAAATATAGCGACAGAGCCAACAAAGCCCAAAGATAATTACCTGGAGCACTGATATTTTCTTTTTCCAGCTATTCTCCCATCTTCTATAACCCTATCCCAGAGAGGTTATGTATTACAAGGGCAGTGTATCACCGCCGGTGAGAGAGAACCCAACACCTCATTGATGCACTGTTCCGGTTCATGTAGTTACTTCCAGTGTCATAAGATGTTCCAAATGTAATGCAGCTACCCAAGAAAATAAGTTGAGTGAATGTTTGTGTGAACTATCCACACACTAGTCTCATTTGGTTACTCAGTGGCTGGTCCTCCCCGTGTCTCCTAAGCTATGGACATCCCACTGATTATAATGTCCCATATTCTCATGTGCCCAATATTGCTGATAAAATAAATATATATACTCAAAGTGCATAAATAAAAAAATATCAAGTCCATTTTGTTGGATATAGAAACCGCTTCATGTCCTATACAAGACATTGTTCAAATCTTGATTAGTCTTGTGTGGAAACTATAACGTCTGCTCTGCATGTATTAGATATGTCCTGGCCATAGAGCAAATAAATAATAATAGCTATGGTGTTAGACTTTAATTTATAAATCTTTAATTGCTACATTTTACAATAAGTCAGACCGAATTAAGTTGTGTTCATATCCTATAAATGATACAGCCTGACCGTGCAAGCAATGCTCCTCTCCCTTTTCTACCCCAAGCTGAATAGACCAGATACAATTTACTTACTATGTTTAAGTACATTTATATATTTTGTAAGTAAGGAAGCCAACCAATTGACTAAGCATAATGTGAGTTGATTGCCAGAGCAGCAGGAGTGTGGCAATGTCTAAATCGCCCCTCAAATCTTATTGCAAAGAAAGTTCAGTAAGTGTATGAAGCAGGGATATTCGTTTAGTTTAAGATCAATTTGTCCCAGTCTGATCGTCCATATATATGTGGTTTAGTGTATGTTATATGCGCTGTATAAAACCTGCAGCAGATAGCTAGTGTGTATTGTGACCGATATAGTGTTGTATATCGTAATGTTTTCCAGTGGCCCATTTTTATTTTATTTTTCATTATATGTAGTTGAAATGTCTTTTGTAGCTTAATGATTAACAAATCCCTATTTTTGTGTGTAAAATGTAAACACTTAATTTTCTGCTGTAAGGGGCATAATAGTCCAAACCCTATTATTGTTGTTTAATCCCTTAATTCTTAACACCGGTAAAAAAAAATAAAAAAATTTCACCAATAAAAACATTTTTTTTTTTATTAATAAATATATATCTTTAAGCCTAAATTCCTATACTGCAGTAAAATTATTGGATTGATGGCCATGTAAAAACATCACTTACTGGTCAATCGTTGGAACAATTGCTCATTGGCAGCCCACTCACCCATTTCAATTCTTCACATGCTTTTTATACTCTTATCTCCTAATCTCTCCTTCAATTTCTGCTCTCCTCTCCATATAGGATCTGATTTTACCCGTTTTTTTTTTTGTTTTTGTTTTTTTAGTTCCTCCATCCACACATTTTTAATTAGATTTCGTATACCATCCAGCTTGGTAGTTTTCATAACTCAACTAGTCCTTTGCAGGTTTTGTTTTTCCATACCTGCATACTTCATCGGTCTATCTTGTCCAGACAGAATTAATTTCCTAATCACTCACCATCACCAGGGTCTTCAGCTAAATTCCAAGTCCCTGTAGTTGCATACAGGCTACGACCTCTGCAAACAATTATTACACAAAAAACTGTTAACATTGATAGACATATTTAGTAGTTTATGGATGTCAGGCAATCTTGAAAAAACTGTAGGCATGTCTGAAGTGTTAACTGAAGACCATGTGAGATTAAGGATCAGTAGCCATCCTACTGAACAGGAAGACTAAAAAAAAATAAAATTGCATGAAAGATATGAAGACCATGTAAAACTGCTGTATGTTTGTGGAGTTGCCTTTTTGGCTATATTTTAAGTATGTTTCATATACTTGTAGTTTAACAACTCATGCTAAAAATAAGTAAATTAAACTCAATACGCTATCTGCTCTTTCAGTGAAGCTGGTCGAAGGACCGGTATCCCAATATTGCAGTAATAGTGTCACACCAGGACCAATGTAATTAAATACATAGAAGCGATGACTCCACATGTCTTATTACGAAGACTTCCTTGGGGGCTAAATAAAATCACTTAGATGCCATCGAGTGCTTATTAGTATGATATTTTGATTTATCTCCTAAGGAAGCTAATGTTATGAAATGTGACAGCCATCGCTTTATTGTATAAAGATACATTTGTTATTGTTGCCATTGGCCTACTCCGTTGGCATATTTTTCTGCTGTAAGTAGGTCCAGTTCCAGGCTGGTGAGTGCCCCATCGGGGAATATGTTTTGTTGTAAAATACTTTTTTATTTCTTTTTATTTTTCTTTACATTTTTAAAAATTAAATTTTTTTTTATATATCGCTTATTTACTAAAGGGAAAGGGGAAAAAACTTTGGCTATATTGATCTTTGACTTTCAACGTTTCAACAACACACACTGTGGAACCTTATTTCCTAATATATTATACGAGTGGAACGTTAGCACAAAACTAATATATTGCTTTATTGAAATATGGCCGCTGTTTATCTTTTTTTTCGTGTGTGTAAATATCATTTTTATTTTTTTTCTTGTGTTAATATTCTGGATTTGATATCAGACTATTTGTATCTAAAGTGCAAAAGGCCCACAATTCTCTCCAACTAGGTTATTTTCATCTTATTCTTTTCCCCAAATATATACTTTTTTTATAATGCACATATCTCAAACAATAACTCTAAAAGATTGTTAAATGATTATCAATAATTTGTCAGCACTGGGATTTTATGAAGCATAAATAATTTCAAATGAAAAACCTGTATTGTCCTAGCAGGATCCATGATCATATCTGAAGATGTCAGATCTTTTGTTTGTAAAGTAAGGCCTAGTAAATTGTTTAACTGATTCTGTAACAGGTCCTGAGAGCAAAATTCTACAATGAAAGTATGATCACTTTGTCTTCTGGGGTTATTGACGCTGAAGAGCTATAAGGTGTATTTCTGTTATAACCTGTGGATTTTCATTGGTCGCTGGCCTATAATTCCATTTAACTGCTGCCTGAGTCTTGTGAAAGTTGCACTACAAAAACTGCTGAACATCATACCAGGATATACATGGATTGTATGTTGGCCTTTCATATAGGGTTGTACATTCATTTGCAAATTGCACAAAATCTGTAAAAGTCTGTGAAGAATATAGATACTCCTACTATATTACTAATGTGTTTCTGTATATCAGAGTTGCTATGCAAATATATTCCCTATATACTGTCCGATATCTAGGTTGACGAATGCCAAAACAAAAATGTGTTTATTAAATTTCATGTAATGCTATATTTCTTAGATACATTGAATGAATGTGATGGGAAACTGCACTAACTACCGTTTGTAGGTTTCAACATCTGCATATGTTTGTGTGTTGTACCTAGCCCTAATGATGTTAAATTTAGCATTAATGTAATCCTAGGGGATGCAATCTGATCTTTACTCCCTCTGTATACAATTTGGTTAAATATGAAAGAACATTCACATGCAGCAACAAGAGACTTTGTCACCACTTTGAGTTTATATTGCCACGCATTATCAGCTGAAGATACCTCTGTCGCGACATTAAAAAAAAATGTTATTCAGGCTGTATGAAGCAAGTGTGACAACAATGTTATGTCTCCGGTGAGTACATTTTCTCCCTAAAGTCAAAATCCAAGGAGCAAAGGAAGCACTCTTACACAAAAGAACACATTTCAGGTTTGGTTAAGTAAAACACATGCCGAAAAATGCACGCTTGATTCTTGTGCTTCAATATACACATATATTGACTATATATGACCGTTGTTCCATCTCCTCTAATTCCTGGAGTGAACATAGTTTTCCTTCAATTTTGGACCATTGCACAGTCACCTACATGGGGGGAGGGTTTGTTTTCCCACATCAGATTTTTCAGACAAGAAGTGGGTTACTAGTCGAGCTTTATCTAACAGCACAAAGTTCTTTGCAGATGGTGTGAAGTACCTTGATGACAAATTGGCTAAAATGTTTTCTGATCGGTTCCAATCCAAGTGACTAACATATCTATTCATCATCATATCTTAAATTTGTTCTTCCGGGAAAAAAATATACATATGACTTACATGTGACATTTGTCTTTCAATAAAACCTGTGTGTAGTTCAGACCTCATTATCTATAGATATCATTTTATGTAGATGGTAAAGAGCTGTTTCAGTCATCAGAAATTTCCTCATAGACCTTTCACCAAACTGGCTTAAATTTGTTTAATTTTTCTTTCCTGTTTTATTTTTATTTTTTTTTTGTGTAATTTACACAATTTTCTATTTATTTGCACATCACGAAATTAACTATATGATTAAAAAAATATAGTATATGTTGAGAAAATTTAAAAGGAACAGTGTTTGTATGTGTTCTGTTTGTAGATTAAAGGCTGTATTATGTTGAAATTTTACAAGCCAAGTTTAAATTGTAATATAGAACTTATTTTTATATTATTTTCAAAATATGCTATAAAGCAATATTTTGCGCCTTTATTATATACAGGGATTGTCATTTTAGTAGGTTAACTGCAGAGCTGTTGGTAGAAATAAATAACAATGACCTGAAGAAGCTTTGTAAACTGTCTAGTAAGTTATGAATGCTATTTATTGTTATGCACTCAAAATGTTTATTGAAAGTTGAAATATATGAATGGTTTATATTAAATCATTTGTCGTCATTATTTTCTTGTGTTGTTTATCCTGAAAACTAAACCTAATATAAAACAAATTACCCAAGTAAAAAAAAAAAAACTGAACACAGTCAAGCACGTATAAACAGTGCTTTAGAATCATAGAAACTGGAGAGGTGAAGAAGGTCCTTCTCAAACAAGCTTACAATATATGAGAATTTAAGGTAGGTGGATCTAGATCAGTTAGGGGTCTTGCCAGGGGCATGGCTTTCCCAATTAGAAGGCAGCGATGTTGACACTGCTCTAACAAACTGGTATGAACTTTTTGTTGTACTATGGAAATTTCATGTAAACTTTTTTTACAATGTCCCCCAGACACTCAATATGTATAGTGCTTGGGAAGTTTCCAAACACGTAACCAAGCTAAGGAATGGGGGTTCCCTGGCCCATTGTTCAACATATCCAATCCTACAGCACTTGGAATGGCCCAGAAGTGAGTTTGAGGGCCTCCACTTCCCATCAACCATCATCTTGGCAATCACTGCAAGAAAAAAAAGGAAACAATCTGACCACTCCTGGTGTTGAGAGGGTCCAAGGCCCTTCACACATATTCTAAGCTTCCATAACATAAAGGTGAATGAAGCATGCAGAGATTGCAGCCTGTTTTCTTGCACGAACTGAATACTTTGCTATGTTCCCCCTTTTCCAGCCCTAGTTTTGATGGCTGTAATATTATTAAACAATGTTTTTTGTTTTTTTTTAAATTTGAAAACTTTGTGTGTCTTTCTTGTCCCAGCCCCTTTGTGTATCTTTCTTCCCTAATTCATTTGTGTGTATTTTTCTACCCGGCTCCTCTGTGTGTCCTCCCAAGCCCCTCTGTTTCTTTGTCCCCTGAGCCCTTCTTTGTGCCTCCCTGCCCCTCAGCCCTCTGTGTGCCTCTCCCATCTTCAGCCCTCAGTGTGTGTCTCCCCCCAGCACTCTGTGGGCCTACGAAAATCATATTATACAAATTAATAAGACTTGCTATTCAGGTAGTGCTTATACCAGTTTCAAGATCCTCACAACCAACAGATGGTGCTGTTCAGGTTCCACAGCCAAATCCACCTAGTGCATCAGGACAGGTGAGTGCACAAGGTGATTAAACACAAGAATAATTTGGGGACTTACATAAAGTGTCTGCTGGGCTGGCGCAAGACCAGCTACTTGTGCTTCCCCCCTACCCCCCCAAAAAAGACACATTTGCATATTTCTTATCCCAGGCCCTTTGTGCATCTCTTTATTCCCAAATTCCTTTGTGTGTTTTTTTTCCCCTTCCTCAACGTGTATCTCCCCCTTCTTGCACCTTAGAGGGTCTCTTTCTCCCAGCCCCTTTGTGTGACTCTGGCCCCCTGAGCCCCACAGTGTGTCTCTTTGTTCCCCAAAGACCCTCTCTGACACTCTTTGTCCCCCAAGCACTATTTTGTGCCCCCCCCCTCAATTACCCCAGCCCTCTGTGTGCATCTCTCCCCCAAGCCATCTGTGTGCCTCTCCATTTATCTAATTAATTACTCCAGCCTCTCCCACATGTCTCATTAATCCCCTAGCCCTTCCATGTGTCTCATTAAGCCCCCCAGCACATCCATGTGTCTCATTAAGCCACCCCCCCCCCCCCCCCAGCCAATTCACCTCTATCATTGTATAGTGGCCATGCCACAGACTGAGGTAGATAAGCTTGTTTCCCTCTTTCCTGACTGACAGGAACCTGTTTGGCGCTCTCACTGAGAGCATTTCCTGTCAGACCGGGTAGAGGGAAATAAGCTCTTTTCTAGGACCTCCATATTGTTGATCTAGTACAGTGGTTCACAACCCAGTCCTCAAGTACCCCGAACAGTCCAGGATTTAGGGATTACCAAGTTGTGTCTAAAGTATTTTAGAAAAGAAACAAAACACTTTAGGTACAACAGGGTAATCCATAAATACTGGACTGGTAGGGGGTACTTGAGGACTGGGTTGGGAACCCGTGATCTAGTACATAACAGAGCTCCACAGCAATAAAACTCACAGTAATTTATTCAAACATTAAGGCAAGATCTCCAGTTTTAAGATCTACACAAATCCAACTTGCTCAACATGGGGCAAGATGTGTGAGTTGGTCCACCAATGTGCTCTAGCGAACAAAACCCAAGAAACCACTTACAAGGTCTTATCCTTGTGGTACAGAACCCAGCAGCTTCTGCAGTATATGAACCCAGACCTGAGTGATAGATGCTGGTGATGCCAACAGGCATAGGCACGTTCTTACACATCTGGTGGGACTGCCCTATGGTTATACCTTATTGGTGGGCAATAAGTAAGGCGTTGCAAAAGTTTTCTGACAATCCCCCTCCCTTTAGACCTGCCTCCTACCTCTTGCATCACACCACAACATCGACTGCCAAATACAAGAAATCCTTAACTGTTAAATACTGCAAAACAAGTTTTACCCTTATATTGGATGAAAGACACAACCCACTCCCTTAACAGCATGGCATGACAAAATGGAAGAACTGCACGGACTAGAAGACCTGACATTTACAGCACAAGGATGTTCACAGACATATATGGACATACTGGGTGACGGTGAGCTACCACGCAGACTCAAAAACTGTTGACATATGAGGGCACCGGGGAGAGTAGAGAGATGTCACTCCAGAGCAGAGACAGATTTAGATGAGGGTCTTGGATCACCAGTCCAGATGGGGTAGGAGTTGAAACCTGTTACTCCCAATTGGGTCACCCCATGGCAGTGATGGCGAACCTATGGCACGCGGCCACAGGTTCGCCATCAATGCAGAGTAGGCGCCTGCCTGCGGCAGGCGCCTACTCTGCTTCCGGGTCGGTTGGCAGGGGGAGGGCTCTAGGAAGCAGCTCCCCTGTCCTCCCGCGCGATGCTGTGTGGAGCGTTGCCGCGCGTTACCATGGCAACGCTCCACACAGCATTGCGCAGGAGGACAGGGGAGCTGCTTCCTGGAGCCCTCCCCCTGCAGTGCTTACCACCACCGGACCACCAGGGATAGCTGTGTGTGTCCCCCCCCCACTTCATTAAAGGTAAGAAGGAGGGGGGGGGATACTGACACACAGCACCCTTACCCCCCCAGAAGTAGCCCTACCCCCAGCACCCCTACCCTCCCCAGC